ATGTGGGCGTTAGCATGCCAGAGGCACACCGAAAGTCTCTGAAATAAGTGTTGGGTCATTATTATTATTATTATTATTATTATTATTATTATTATTATTATTAATTTATTATTATTATTATTATCACTATTACTATCATTATAATGACTTTACAACTACAGAGACAAAGAGACGGTAGGGAAAGACAACAGAAGTTACGGAAAGTTGAAGGTGCCCAAACTTAGTTAGACCGGGACCAGAGATAAAACAGAACTAATAATAATCACAAATAGTTAGACAAAAGGGAAAGAGAGAGAAGGTGAATTGAACAGTGTAATACAAAGTGAAAGGAAAAATTCTAATTAAAAACAAGCATAACATCTGTGGCATGCATGGACACTTAATGAAATCAATTTTGACTTACGGAGGACTGTTATAGTGCCAAGAACACCATTAGCACCATTAATGCCACAGTGATATACACCTTCAGTAATATTGGTGACTAATAGGCTATAATTTTCACCGTTTTGAGACAATTTTATGCCATCACGAAATATATTCAAGGAGCAATCAGTGAGGGTAACATTATTACCGCTTCTGCTAATACTAAAAGCCTCAGTTAAGATAGGGACAAGCACCAACAGCAGGAACCGTGATACTAGCAGGGACCGCGTCTTCATGACCTAGTACTAACACTGACTGTGAAAAGTATTCCTGAGACTTATAACTAAGAGAATACACAAGGTTTTATAAGAGAGACAGAGAGAGGGACAGTGAGCGAAGAGAGTCCGAATTCTTGGCCCTTAACTGTCTTGGCCTATAAATAATGATAATGATTATTATCATTATCATTATTATTATTATTATTATTAAAACTTTAAAGGACTTAAACAGAATAAAGAAAAACAGACAGGAGAAATCAAGGGCAAAGGGGAGGGAATAAAGGCCCAAAGGGATGTCAGGAACAGCCTGTCCTGAGGCAAGGAAAATAAACACAAAAACACAAAAGTAGTAATTTAAGCCTTTAGTTTACATTTGCCATAAAATGCAATGCAATTGAACACAAAATTGAAATTTGACCAATTTTGTGTCAACTTCAAAGCGTTTTTGTGTCAACTTCAAAGTGTTTTTGTGTCAAAAGGTCAAATCGCCCATGCACTTTTGACCGTTTCGTCGAATGTAAACCTAGCTTAAAGGCTAGTTTACAATATGACGTTAGGCCAACGTACCGTCAATTTTAAATCAAAAGCATGGGCAATTTGACCTTTTGATGCATGCTTTCCGCTAGAATAGAACCAGATTTTATTCCTGCGTCTATGCAACGTCAGGACTTACATAATATTATTGTAAACCAGCCTTAAGAGAGAGAAGTAAAAGTAGAGAGAAGAGAACAACACTCAGACATTTAGTACATGTACAAACAGTATGAAAAGTGTGTGCATCATTAATTTTGAGTTAAAAACATTGTTGAATTTATCATTAAAATACCAATTAATTTTTTTACTAGAGGCTTAAATTAATTTATTTGTTGATTGATATTGAACGGTCCACTGGGGGTAGGGAGTTCCATAGTTTGGGGAGACAGTAGAAAAAAGTATGTCGAGCTTGAGTCTGTAATAGGGTGGAGTGAGCTAGCTTGTTGTACTTTGAGCTACGGCTACATTTAGAAGAGAATGTAAAAGAGAAATCGTCATACATATTGAAACAGGGATCATGATGGTTCAACTGTACAAAGAAGATGAGTTCGGCACATTCTAAGTAATACATAAGGGGTAGGAGTCCACCTAGAAGTCAAACAAGATATATTTGGTTGCCCTTTGCTGTAGTCTCTCTAGGGAAATAATATCTCTGATTAGGGAGGGTCGCCACACTGGGGAACAGTAGGTAATATAGGGGGAGTACCAGGGACAAGTATATATAGTGTCCTTTTAACAGCAGTTGATGTTGTAGCTCCTGGAAAGACCCGTTTTATTCTTGTGAGTATACCGTATGCTTTCTGTAGTACCGAGCCTACCTGGGTGGACCAGAGAGTGAATCAGACAAGACAACACCTAGGTCCTTGCAAGTACTTCTGTGAGCAACACGTTTGCCTTCCAAAGTATAATCAAAAGTCACAGGGTGGTAGCTTATCGCACAGCTCTTCTCACTGTTGAAAGTAAGACCAGTAGCTTCACTCCAGTTAGATAACAGTCCTAAGTCACTGTGTAACAACTGACAGTCCCAGATAGATTTGATAGCTCTTGCT